CAGTGGCCGGCCATCGGAAGTTGACAATGACCAATTGGGAGCAATCATCGAAGCTGATCCTCTTACAACTATAGGAGAAGTTGCAGAAGAACTCAGTGTTGACCATTTCACAGTCATTTGGCATTTGAAGCAAATTGGAAAAGTGAAAAAGCTCAATAAGTGGACACCTTATGAGCTGACCGAAAATCAAAAAAAAAAAAATCATTGTTTTGAAGCATCATCGTCTCTTCTTGTATGCAACAAAGAACCACTTCTCGATCAGATTGTGACATATAATGAAAAGTGTATTTTATATGACAACCGGCAACAACCAGCTAGCTCAGTGGTTGGACCAAGAAGCTCCAAAGCACTTCCCCCAAAGCCAAACTTGAACCAAAAAAAGATCATGGTCACTGTTCGGTGGTCTGCTGCCGGTCTGATCCACTACAGCTTTCTGAATCCGGCGAAACCATTACATCTGAGAAGTATGCTCAGCAAATCGATGAGATGCACGGAAAACTGCAATGCCTGCAGCTGGCGTTGGTCAACAGAAAGGGCCCGATTCTTCTCCACAACAATGCCCAACAGCATGTCGAACAACCAATGCTTCAAAAGTTGAACGAATTGGGCTACGAAGTTTTGTCTCATCTGCCACATTCACCTGACCTCTCGCCAACCGACTACCACTTCTTCAAGCATCTTGCCAACTTTTGCAGGGAAAATGCTTCCATAACCAGCAGGATGCAGAAAATGCTTTCCAAGAGTTTGTCAAATCTTGAAGCATGGATTTTTATGCTTCAGGAATAAACAAATTTATTTCTCATTGGCAAAAATGTGTTGATTATAATGGTTCCTATTTTATTAATAAAGATGTGTTTGAGCCTAGTTATAATGATTTAAAATTCATGGTCCAGGCTGGGCGAGATGGATAGCACTCTGGGAGGCTGAGGTGGGAGGATCGCTTGAGATCAGGAGTTTGAAACCAGCCTGAGCAAGAGTAAGACCCCGTCTCTACTAAAAATAGAAAAATTAGCCAGGTGTGGTGGTATTATCCTGTAATCCCAGCTACTTGGGAGGCTGAGGTGGGAGAATGGCTTGCGCCCAGGAGTTTGAGGTTGCTATGAGATAGGCTGACGCCACAGCACTCTAGCCTAGGTGACAGAGCAAGACTCTGTCTCAAAAAAAAAAAAAAAAGAAAAAGAAACAACAAAATCAAAATTGCAATTACTTTTGCACCAACCTAATACAAAGCGTATAAGGAAACAATCCATTAGGAGTGAGAATCAGAAGATCTAAACAACAGCAGGACTATACCTCAAGGAACTCTGGATACTAGAAATAAGCCTACCAAGTATGCTTAAAATAATAAAAACTATAAAGAAGGAACTGAAAAGAAGAGAAAAAGACAGTGAGAAAAAACAGAAGTGAAAAAGTCACCGAAATTAAAAATTAAGTAGACGGAATAAACATATGATTGGACACCACTGAGGAGATAAAATGATGAACAAGAAAATAGAGCTAAAGAAATTACCCAAAATTCAACAGAGAGACAAAAAGATGAAAATATGAAAGTGAGGTTGAGCAATAGGGAACAGAATAAGTATGTCTAATATATATCTAATAGGAGTAGCTGGAAAACAGACCAGAAAAAATGGGGGAGGGAATATATTATGTAGAATTTTCCCAGAATTAATGGAAGACACAAAACACAAATTCTAGCACACAGTAAATAAAACTAAATCTACACTTAGATCACAGTAATGAAATTTGGACAACACCAAAGAAAAGGTAAAAATATTAAAACCAATTATAGGTAAGATATTACCTAAAAAGAAATGATAATTAAACTAATAGTAGATCTTTCAACACAGTAGGAGAAAGCAGTGAAAATATTTTTTCCAACTAAGCCATTATTTAAGAAGGAAATAAAAAGATGATTTACTTATTGTTAACAATTCTTTACTGAGAAAGCTATTTTTAGAAACCACACAAAACAAGAAAATTGAATTTCAGGAAAAAAGGAAACTGAATCCAGAAGTAAGAAGTTAAAATAAAAGCAGCAATGGTGAGAATTGTTAAATATATCAGTAAATCTAAACAGGAAATGATTATACAAAATAGTAATCAGAATAGCAACAGCCACTATGACAACTACTTTTAGAGATGTAGAAATAATGAAATAAAATGCCAGAGGATAACATACATATAAGGCAGGAGAGTTAAATTATTCTAAGGTCCCTGTATTGTTGGGGAGCTGCTGATTAACTTTAGACTTTGTTAAGTCAGGAATATATTAATATGTGTGTGAAACCTTAAGAGTAAATCATATCGGAATAGAAGTAGAAGATAGAAAAGGAAATAAAAAAAAGAAGAGAAAGCAAACAGGACTACTACAACGGATAGTAAAAAAGAAAGAAAAAGCACAGTAAATGGTATGTACAAAATAGAAAAAAAATCCAAATGTATCAATAATCAGAGTAGATGAAATTCACCAATCAAAAGATAGATTCTAAAACTAGATATAAGAAACCACACCCACACAAAGTCCAGCTGTGTGCTATTTATGAGACGTATATTAGACAAAAGTAAATACATAGAAAGTTGAAAGTAAACAGAAATAAAAAGATATATCAAGCAATACTATCATAAGAAAGTTGGCATACCCACTGCAAGTGTACACAAAATAAGACTCCTAGGCAAAAAGCACTGTATACAAGGAATAAAGAAATTTTTTAAAAAAAGATAAAACATATAAATTCATGAGAAAAAAAACCAGGAAGATTTTTTTCTTTTGATGTGGTAAAATACACATAAAAAAATTTATCATTTTAACCACTTTGAAGTTTACAATTCAGTGGCTTTAAGCACATTCACAAGGTTGGGCAACCATCACCACCATCCATCCACAGAACTCCTTTCATCTGAAAAAGTTCTACTGAAACTTTCTCCCCATTGACAACAACTCCTCATTCATTAGGATGTTTAGAACAACACATTTAACAAGCCTGATCTGATGAACACATGAAGAACCCTGTACTCAACAGCTAGAAAATACAAATTCTTTTCAAGATCAAATCACTAAAAATATTAGGTTGGCCTCAGATCTCCCCACAGCTACATTTAACTCTAGAAGATTGTGGAGCTATACTTAAAAAAATCCTCAAGGAAAGAATGCACGATCTGACAGTCAAGCTGTCATTGAAATATTTAGGAATTAAACTGTAGAACATTTAAGAATTCATCAGAGAATATTGTTTTTATGAGCCTTTTTTTGAGGACTTGACTAGAGAACAAATTACAGACAATCGAAAGAGAAGTGAGACAAAGGGCAGTGAATGGAGTGGTAAGGGGCACTGGACCTAATAATTACAGGTCCAGTGCTGAAAACAGAAGTGGGAAATAGTGTAATAGAACAGAATGTAAATGTTACACACCCTGACAAGGTAGAAAACCAAAGCCTGCAGGAAGGAGAAGAGGAAGAGAAGGTGCAATGTTAGAATAAGTAAGCTGGTTTCCCCACTTTTTTAATTGTTAGAGGTGGGTGAGGAGAACATCAAAGAATATCATTTAAAGCTAACAAATCAAGTCATAGTATAAGCATATTCAAAGTATAAAGGCAAACACTAAGAAAGACAATACTGTCAACTAAAATCAGGTGCTAGAGGAGAAGGAAGAGAGGGAAAAGGAAAAAGAAATATACAAATTTTCACTCTAGCCCGGGTGACACAAAACAAAAGAAACAATAACAACCCCCCCTCAAAAAAACCCAACTAATTTCATCACTTCTCACAATGGGAATTAATAGAATAGATACTATTGAAAAAAATGGATGATTAATGATAGCATTACAATGACTAGAACAAAACCACATGTCAGAACACACACACACACACACATATGCACGAAGAAGGAGAAGATTTTTTACAGGCTTTAAAATCAAAAGCCAAACATAAAATGATATCACTAAAACCAAATATGTCTACATATCAATAAATACAAACAGGCTACACTTATCTATTAAAATAAGCCTTTCAGATGATATCACATTGCAAAACCTAATTCAAGATCTATTCAAGAGACACACGAGACAAAACAATTTTTTTTAAAGTGGAAAGTATAAGATGGGCAAAAAAATGAACAACAGCAACATGTAAATAAAAGAAGCAGATATTTTGATCTCAGTATCACTCAGGGTTGATTCCAGCTGCACCCCGCCCACCTGAGTTCCCCAAAAGCCAAAAGCCTTTGTTAGAAAGTGAGGCAAAGATGTGGAGAACAAATTTAAGGTAGCTACTAAATAATTATCTGTTCATTAATTCCCAGAAAACTTTTGGAGGATACAGAAGGAACTATTAATAGTCATTACTTCTAGGGAATGTGCTGGGGATGCAGAAAGAGGAAGAATTTCTCCTCTTTCCCCTAAATAATTCTGTACAGTTGAATTCTTGCCAAGAGCATGGTTTTCTATTGTAAGAAAAAGTAATCAATAAATAAGAAATATTTCAGTGAAACTAATAATCAGATTGTATACTCTAAAATATAAGTATTTTAGTTTTTTATATATTAGCAATTCTATAACTACTCTGCTTAATTACATATAATTTATAGAACCACTAAGAAAATAAATATGAAACTTTCCAAGATGCTATTCTAATTCTAGATGATTGTAAAAGATTTAGATAAATCTAAATTATACATCTTGAGTTGTGATGCTCTAATTTTCAAACAGCTGTTAATATTCAAATTTAGAAAAACATTCCTGTACAATAGAAAGGAAACACACTAACACTTCACTATAAAATTTCCTAAATATTTGAAGGTTACCCATTAAAGTAAGAAGTGTAAAGTATTTTTAAATACTCCTTCTCTTTAAAAATGTGATAATGCATTTTGGTAGTTTCAAGTGTTACATACAGTTAAACAAATTAAAAAATACGTAGTATTAAAAATAGAGAACTGCTAATGTCAAATGGTAGAGACTACCTAATCTGGATTTGGAGTAGGCATTTACCTTCTGACAGTTTATCTTTAAAACGGTGGTTAGAATTAGCTTCCAAGTAATAGTATTTCATCACTTCTCATAAGCTATCATAGTTTGCCCCACACTACGCCTCCCAGCAAAGCAAGTTCATTAATCTAAAGTTAACTTGTCACCACTTGTGGGCAGACTTTGAGCTTTTACCTGGCCACAGAAGAATGTGACTTCATATTTATAGCTCTGACATGCATATGATTTAAAGGAAAAATCTTATCTGGTTATACTTGGAATTTCAGCTTAAACTGCTTTTTCTCCTTCTCTCTCCCCCCCAATTATTTACAACAAAATAAGTAGCATAAATTAAACAAAAACATTTGTAGGTCATATTACTACTCTCTTTTGCAGAATTAGATCAATATAATTATAATGATAATAATTTGTTTTCTATAATAACCCAAATAAAATATTCAGGATTCTAACTAGTACATCTGAACAAGATAGAATACTAAAAGTATCACAAAATCAAATGCACTTACTTGACATTTCTGACGCAACTGTCGTAGTTCTTTTAGAACTGGAGCTAGAGCTGACTTCTTTTCAGATACCAGTGAATTCAGTTTTTTTACCTGTCATTTAAACAAAAAACATTAACGCCTACAAAAAGAATTCAAAAGAATAAAAATACTACATGCATAAAGATATTTACTGCAGTGTTAAATATAAGAGTAAAAAACTATAAATTAGCTGGGTGTGGTAGTGTGCATCTGTAGTCCCAGCTACTCCAAAGGCCAAAGTGGGAGGATTGCTTGAGCCCAGGAATTTGAGGCCAACCTGAGCAACAGAGTGAGATCCCTGTCTCAAAACAAAACCAAAACCAAAACCAACTATAAATTATTTCAGTGCCAAACAATAGGGAAGTGATTTAGTAAAACTTGATTCCTCAGCAAGATGGAATACCATACCATTTAATCATTCAAAATGTCAATTATCAAGACTAAAACATTGTGGGAAAATATTTATAAGCAAACATTGAATGAATAAAATAAATTACAAAGTTGCCTGTATACAACTATAATCATGTTGTGTTATATTAATATAAAAATAGATAATTATGTAAGTTATAAAAATATACATAAATATGGATGGAGTGATATTCAAAATATTAATACTTAATAATCCAAATGGCATAAATAGCAACCAATCAGAATGGACACCTGTCAAAGAGATGAATAGGGTCTTAAAGCCCTTTTTTATAATACATGCTAATTTTTTTAGGAGTTAGACTGTGGTGAGATCTAGAGAGTTCTGGGGAAATGGCCAATATGGATAAGGCAGTGGAGGGGGATACTCTGAGGGTCTGGGGCAGCAACTATATACTAACAAGTACAGAAAGATTTCAATATTTTAATGCCTGGTGAAAATGTACCAGTGCCTTCTGGCTGAACAGCAGCCTTGAATATGGAAAGATACTAAGGACATACACAAAAATGAAATAATTTTATTAGAGTGGTATCACTTGGGAAAACTTATTTTTTATCATAAATATTTCTTCAATGTTATGCAACTTTTACATATTAAAAAAACACAAATGCATAAACTATTAGAAGTTGATAACAACCTTATTAGAAGGGAAAAATTCACAAGAGACTGATAAAGACACATGAAAGAATATAAAGTAAATGACGTGCAGAAATGAAAATTTGAATGTTTCACTGAAAATAAAACACACGAACCACTTGTCTTCTAGCTACACAATAAAAGAAAACTTTTAAAAAATGTGTAATCACCATTTCGGACATGTCATCCAGCGTCCGTCCTTTCATTTCATCGACTTCACTCTTCAGTGCAGACACTCTTTCTAGCTCCTCTTGGGTATAACTATATCCAGATATACCCTTTTTCTCCTCAATAGCTTGCTGTAAGTAAAGAATAAGAAGCTCACAAAATGTGCGTCAAAATCTTGCTGGTTTCCATAAGAAGTATATAAATTTCATACGTAACAAAAAAGTTGTAAATAAACTAGTTTAAAAATCTAAAGGACAATCTTCATTGATTTCAACTATTATTTCATTCAATTACACGTCTTCATATTATAAATCTATGCTAAATTTTACTATGGTATTTTCAGATGCATAAGAAATATTTCTAATTTTAAACTTTTTTCCTCTTTTTTCATTTTTAACATTTTTTTTCCAGGAAACAAACCTGGACCTCCCACATGAAAGAACCTAATGAACTAATTTTAGATTTTATAATGACGTCAAGTACTTAGTACAGAACCTAAAACACAGGATGCACTCAATAAATATTTGGTAAATGAATGAATTCTCAAGTGATCATTGTACTTGCATTCACGCTCATCCAATATTTATTATATACTTAAATGTGCCAAGCACAACTCTAGGCATCAGGTATACAGCAGTGAACAAAACAGGAAAAAAAAATCCCTTCCCTCACAGAGCTTATGCCTAGTGGGAGTAAATAAGCAATAAGTAAGTAAATAAATAAATTAGATACATATAGTATGAGGTGAGAATGGATGGAGTTGTACTCTTAAATCAGAAGGTGGTTAGAGGTGATCCTGAGAAGACGACATCTGAGCAAAGCCCTGAAAGAAGTGAGGGAGTGTGCCATACAGATGCCCAGGGCATCAGCAAGTGCAAAAACCATTCCCTGTCTGGCCTGTTCAAGAAACAGCAGGGAGGCCAGTGAGGCTGAAAATGCAGTGAGAATGAGGTGGGGTGAGGGAGAGATCATACAAGGATCAGCTGGTTTGCTGGGATAGTCTCAGTGTACATCTATTGTCCTTTGTGCTCTCAAAAGTGTCCTCATTTAGGTGATAAATTTTATCATTACCTTATTTTTTAGCTCAATAAAAGAGCTTTGTTTTATTTAAAATGAGATATGGAGCTCTTCTAGGGTTGACAGTAGAGGAATTTTTAAATGATCACTTTCACATCTGTGCTGACATCCAACTATAGAGAGACAAGGGTAGGAGGAGGTAAGCCAATTAGAAGACCATCCTAATAATTCAAGTTAGAGATGATAGCGTGAGTCAGGATGTTGGTGAGAGAGAGGTAATGAGGAGTGGTTCTGCACATATTTTGAAGGTAGATTCAGTAAGATATTGTGACAGATTAGATGTAGGGATGTTAGGGAGAGGGAGGGGTAAAGAAGTCCAAGGTTTCTGACCTGAGGGATTTCCATTTCTTGAGATGAAGAAGACTGGAGAAAAACCAGGTTTGAGGAGGAGGTGAAGAGTAGAAGTTTAGTTTTGGATGTGTTAAAAGTTTGAAATGTTTATTAGATATCCAAGTGGAGAGGTCAAGATGTTATATGTACAAGACTGGAATTAGAGAAGAAATCTATGTTGGAAATATAAATCAGTAAGTTGTCACCATATAGAGGATCAGATCACCAGTGTAGCTAGAGTAGAGAAGAGATCCAACATTTAGATCTTGAAGAAATGAGAAGAAATCAGCAATGGAGTAGGAACACGAGTGTTAGTTTAGAAGAAACACCAGGAGAGTGTAGTGTCCTAGAAGACAAAAAAAATGTTTACAGGGAAGAGAGAGTGATCAACTATGTCAAATGCTGCTAATAGGTCCAGTAAGAAAAAGACTAAGAATTGGGCTGGGTGTGGTGGCTTACACCTGTAATCCTAGCACTTTGGTAGGCTGAGGTGGGAGGATCACCTGAGGCCAGGAGTTTGAGACCAGGCTGGGCAACAGTGAGACCCCGTCTCTACAAAAAATTAAAAAAATTAGCCAGGCATGGTAGCATGTGCCTGTAGTCCCAGCTGCTTGGGAAGCTGAGGCAGGAGAACTGCTTGAGTCCAGGATTTGGAGGCTGCAGTGAGCTATAATGATGCCACTGCACTCTAGCCCAGGTGACAGAGCAAGACCCTGTTGCAGAAAAAAGAAAAAAAGAAAAAGGACTAAGAATTGGTCACTGGATTTAGCAATGTGAAAGTACTGGTGACCTGGAAGAGATAAATAGTGGAATGGTAGGTGTGAAAACCTTATTGGAGGGAATCTACAAGAAAATGGAAGAAACATGAGGAGAGAGAGACAAAAAAGGCTTTCAATAAGCCCTCATTTCCCATGGATGAAGGGCAGAGGGCACCGAAAATCAGGCACAGGGATTAATTGTAAGACTGGCAAAACTTCAGAGGAAGCTGAATTCTTAGTTTAGACAAATATGCTATGCCAAAGTTAGGGTCCTGATAGGGAAGAAAAAGGATGCTGAGTCTTGAATGGGGGTGTCTGGGAACACCCACTTAAGAGCCTTGCGCTCCCAGTATCCTCTGGGCAGTGGCAAATGGCTTAGCTTGTTGGTCAGGGGCCTGAAAGAAATAACACAGCAAGGGCCGGGAGGTCTAGGGAAAAGACACGTGAATGGACCTATGGGAGTACGCACTAAGGGTGAAGATCTTTTCATCATGTGGCCACTAGAGAATGTCCATTGCAGAAGAGGCACTAAACCAATAAAGTGGAAAGGATGATATGGCCAGGAGATGTCAGCCAGCCTATCATTGGCCACTCAGTGCTTGTAATGGGCTCATGAACAGAATGGCTATGTTGGTAGAGATGGTGGTTTTATATGGGCCAAAAAGCAAGGGCCCTTTCTCACCAAGGCTCATCTAGCTACTACCAATGTCAAATCTCTGACCTGCCAGCAAGAGACTATTCCTCAGCTCCGGGTATGGAATCATCCCTTGAGAAAACCGAACCCCTACTTCACGGCAATTTGATAACATCAGACTCTTTCTGCCCTGCAAAGGGCAACATTTCATCCTGACTGGGACTGACCTATATTTAGGGTATGGATTTGCCTTTCTTGTCCATTGTGCTTCAGCCAGCACCACTATCCAAGGTCTCAGAGTGTCCGTCTACTGATGTGGAATCCCACATATCACCTCAGACCAAGGGACCCACTTTATGGCAAAGGAGGTGTGACCATAGAATTCATTTTACCACATACCACACCATCAGGAAAGCTGATGGCCTGATAGAATAGTGGAACAGCCTTTTGAAGGTATAGCTAAGGTCCCAGCTTAGAACTAATAGCCTGTGAAAATGGGTTCTATTCTTTAGGATAGGGTGTATAACTTAAACCAATACCCATTATATGGTGCTGTGTTCCCAACAGAATGCATGGGTCTTGGAACCATGAGATGAAAGTATAAGTGTTACCACTCACCATGATCACCACTGATCCACTTAGGGAATTATGCTTCCCTTCTAGACAACTTTAGGCTCTGTGGGTGTTTATGTTCTGGTTTACAGAGTGGGCATGCTTCCAACAGAAGACATATTAAGAGGGCCTCTAAATTTAATGCTCTGACTACCATCTGGTCACTTGGGTTCCTCATGCCAACAGACCAGAAGGCAAAGAGAAGAGTCATATTGGTAGGAAATCATAAGGCTATATAGATGCTACTATATAATGGGGGCAGAAAGAAATATATTTAGCACTCAGATGATCCATTAGAGCATACATTGGTACTCCGATGCCCAGTTTTAACTGTAAAAAGGCACATATAGCAACCACAGCCTGATAAGGGCGTGGTTACTAGAGTCTCACATCTCTCAAGGATGAGGAACTAGGTCATCCCATCAGTAAGTCATCTGGACAAGAGGAGGTACTAGCTGAAGGTGGGGGAAACGCAGAATAGATAGTGCACGAAGATGACACTATCAGTTATGTCCTTGGGACAAAATATGGCAATGAGTTTCAATTTATCCCATTAATCTTTCTCTTACAAGTTTTCCTAGAAATTGTGACCAACCAGAGTCCTGTAGAAGCTATACCTGGATAGAGTGAATTTAATGTGAGAAACTAGCAGATCTTAGCAGTACAAGGGGTG